GCTCACACTCTTTAGCAAGCTCTTAGCCAACTGAGCCACTCTGCTGGCCCTGAACAGAATTTTTAAATGTGCTATTCTAAGAACCAGTAAGATAGTAAATCTAAAATAGATTTTTCTCTACATTGTCAGAGTCCCCAAACTACCCTTTAATTAGGTATGAATACTTTGCAATACAAATATTTTTCCACAGTGGTTCTCAGACTTAAGCCTGCATCAGAACCACCTAGAGGGCTTGTTAAAGACAGATTGCTGTCCCCCTCCCCCAGAGGCCTAGAGTTTCTGATTCAGTAGGTCTGGGATGAGACCTGAGTATTTGCATTTTTAACAAGTTCCCAGGTGGTGCTGATGGCAATACTGCTGATGCTGGAACCAGAATTTGAGAAGCTCTGGGCTAGCACCATGTTGATATAGAACATGGAATCTGGTGGCATCTCTTTCTGCCTTATGGTAACTCTTAACACTTCCTGTGCTTAAAACATCTCCCTGCCGACCATCCTGCCCTCCAGACTTCCTTGTGGTCCAGGGTCCTCCCTCTACAGCAATCAGTGAACAAATATTCATTGAGACTAGCCAGATGCAAAGCACTGGGCTCCATAGTATAAGAATCTGTTATGTCTACAATGACCCCCATCTTCAGAACACTTGCACTCCAATTAAGGAGATAAGAAATGTGCATACTGAAGGCCATAGGGATTCTGGGATCAGAAAAGACTTGAATTCGAATTCTATCCTCAGAATTTTCTAACTCTAAACTTATCCTATTACCCCTAACTTCTGGGAGCCTTAGGGCTCTCGTGTTAAGTTAATAGCACCAATAACACCTATCTTATAGGTTTGTTTTGAAGAATAAGTGAATTGGTATCTATTAGTAGCATCTCCTTATAGTAAGAGATACACCAAGAACCCAGGTCCCTGAATTTTCAACTGGCAGCCTACTGCAACATTAGAGTTTTAATTTTACTCCAGGAAAGTGTGTATTATACTTTTAGCTGGGATTTGGGTCCCCGATCCTTATGAGATCTACTCCTAGTAAAGTGGAAAGAACTAACCAGGTATAGGTTTTGACCCTCTAGTCTAATTTAAAGCCACCAGCCTGAACTAAGACAAGCCAAGTGGTCTTATTCTGCCTACATAGCCTCACCTTGGTCCTGGGTCCTTGAGACTTACCACTCAGGCCCCTGGAGGAAAGAGCAGAGACATGCGCTCGGTACATGCTGCTTTCGTTAGTGCATGCTTAATTATTCCTCAGTATTCTTGAGAGGATCACCGTTGCCTTGGAGAGAAGGAGACTGCTTCCACGATTGTTTGTTATCCTCAATCTGTCTGCCGTGTTTTCTATTAGGCAGGAAGTCGTTGGCTTAGCACGAAATATCTTGCCTAAAGAACCTGAGCAGCCACTTTCCTCATTCTTTTCACCTCCTCCTATTAGGTATTCCTACAAACCAGTGATTAAAACTTAGTGCGCATGAGAATTGCCCAGGGAAAGTATGTAAGATGCGGACTCATAAGCTAAGAAACCCCAGAAATGCGCATTTTTAATAAGAACCCAAGGCAATTCCCATACAAGTGGCCCGAATACCATGCCTTGATAACCATTTATATAAACCAACCCTCAGCTCTCCATGGACTTTTTACAGGTCCCTCCCCCAACCTGGAAGCTCTTTTTCTCTGACCCACTCAAGCTTTATAGCATAGCCAAATGCCACTTTTATTGTGATTCCTACCCTGACAATCCTAAGCATAATCAGTTACATTCAACTTAGTAATAGTAATTTATATTATATTGCCTATTTACTTTCAGTTTAATTCAAGTTAGTTGCTCAATTTTTCTACAGTATAGTATGCAGCACTCCTCTATAGCTTTTTAAGTGGCATTACAGTATTCTTTATCTTTCCCCTTTGAGTAAAGGGACAGCATTTTATTCATTTATTTCTTTCCAGTTCCTGATACACAGTAGGCATTAAAACATATTTGATATCCAACTGATTGAACTAATATTTTCATCCGCCTTGGGAGGAAAAGAAAATTTAAAAAAATGGTACAGGGATGGCCAAGTGGCTCAGTTGGTTAAGAGGCAAGCCCTGAGCAACAGGGTCACTGGTTCAATTCCCACATGGGCCAGTGAGCTGCGCCCGAGCTGAGCTGCCACTGAGCTGCCAACAGGTGGCAGGATGGCTCAGCTGGTGAGAGCGTGTGCTTTTAGCAACAAGGTTGCTGGTTCAATTCCCACATGGGATGGTAGGCTATGCCCACCTGCAACTAAGATTGAACACAGCACCTCGAGCTGAGGGACTGCAAGCTGCTGACGGGTGGCCAGATAGCGACTGGACTTGGAGCTGAGCTAGCTGCGCCCTCCACAACTAAGATTAAAGGACAACAACTTGGCTGTTCCCCTTCCCCAATTCCCAACACTGTTCCCCTTCCCCAATTCCCCAATAAAATCTTAAAAAAAAAAGATGGTACAAATTCATCATCCCCTCTGATAAGTTTGAGTAGTATTATGTCCACTAAGCAACCTTTTACAAGTCAGTTTATGAAGATTCATCTAAAAGTTAGACTCATGCAAACTGGACACCGGTGAGAGCTCTGACTCTAATGCACTCCTTGTCTTGTGAGCCACCATAGAATAACTAGTTATCTCAAGGCTTCTCATAAAATTCTCAAAGCAAAATTAGTTATAAAATTTTTCATTCACATCTACAATATATATTTTTAAAGGGAGGATTATCATGTGCTCTAACACATTCCAAAAGTAGAGAGTCACTGCTTTAGAGTTTTGAAAAGAGGGAAATTCATGTGAAACCTTGAATGTCATAAGCCCCATCAAGGTGTGTAAATTAAGAGCATCTATAGCTTAGAGACAATATGCATTCATTTGCTCATTTTTCAAGTATGTATCAAGAGCGCACTGCATGCCCAGCACTCTTCTAGGCACTACTGAAACAGTCTTGATGGGATGTAAGGTGCTGCAATTAATGATTTTTCTTCTGAAATGATGGACGACAGGTAATCCCCACACTTCTACCTTTTAATTTGCTAGGCACCCAGCATCTAAGCTTTCTTGCAGCCACATCTCTGGCAAGTGCAAGAGCTCATTCTTGGTCTTCTGCAAACTTCTTGCCGTGAGTACAAAACAGCTCAGCTCCAACCCTGGACTCAGACGACAAAACCTTGGATCTTGCGCACTTAATTTTTGTTATTTATAGGTGAAAAAGTTATCTTTATGTATTTTATCTTTGCTCTCAAGATTTATTTAGTCTTAGAGGTGAGACTGTGTTCTCTCCCATCCACTGGCTGGGTGAGGAGCACAGGTCTAATTGTTCTATTTTCCTGCAGAAATCTCATGTGGTCCACCAGCTCACGTGGAAAATGCGATTGCTCGAGGCGTTCATTACCAGTATGGGGACATGATCACCTACTCGTGTTACAGTGGATACATGTTGGAGGGTTCCCTAAGGAGTGTTTGCCTCGAGAGTGGAAACTGGACATCACCTCCTATTTGCAGAGGTAAGAAAACATTCAAATGGTTATTTCTTAGTGAAACTGTAGGGAAATGTATATGGACATCTGATATGGCCAACAACCAGTATGCATGCTATTTTCCTTTTTCTTGCTTTAAATTTTCTTTTAACATCTGTGTCATTTCCCTTGATGGAGATGAGTTTTGAAAGCTTGCACACAGAACTCTGAGATTCTAGGCTTGAAATTCTGTAAAACAGAAAGAAGTAGATAGTGAAGCATCCTACTATATCCTTTTAAAATGTATACTTTCTTAATATCATATAATGTTTTAAAAATCATAATAATTCTATTTGTTCTACAAATATTTACTGAAAGTCAGGAGCTATACTAGTAAATAAGACAGACATACCGAAGAACTAAAAGAATAACTCAGTTATTGGTTGGATTGTCCGCCTGGCCACATGGACAATGATCAGATTTGCACCTGGGGTGAAAAGGCCAAATGACTTACAGGGTCAGGGAGAATTAAGGAAACCAAAGAATGAATGGCATGAGCCTCAAAAGTGGCAAGGGTTATTGCAGGAGAAAGGACATTGATTGGAAGCAACAAAGAAATATGATTACATGGGACAGTGTGCAGCCTCCTCTTGAGAGGGCTGCTGAGAAGGAGGCATCCTCAAGGAATAGACCAGGCTTCACTTAGAGACAGAAGTCGGTAGTGATTGTGTGTGTGTGTGTGTGTGTGTGTGTGTGTGTGTGTGTGCGCGCGCTTATTTCCTCACTTGTTTATTTTAAGGTACTGAGGGACAGTGGCAGCACCAAAGAGCTACTGGCCATCAAAGGCCCCATTTGGAAGCACATTTTCAAATCTTCTGGAAGGGGTGTTTCTCCCGGTCCAGATCAAAAGAGACTATCTTTTGTGTAAACCACCTTGTCCCTTCATACCCTGAACCCCCAAATTACTAAACCCTGGAAAGCCATGTTCTCAGAACCACCCATGCTTGTTATGCGCCCCCCCCCCCTTGAGCCCCTCATGTTCATCCCCAACCAAATCTTGAGATTTGGTTGTTTCTCTTCCTTAAAGCTTGAGTCAAGGATGCAATGTAAGTGAGCAATGCAATTTTTGGCAACCACCCTTCCATAATTCCCTAGATTTATGATTATCCATCTTCTCTTGCAGCTGTCTGTCGATTCCCATGTCAGAATGGAGGTATCTGCCAACGCCCAAATGCTTGCTCCTGTCCAGATGGCTGGATGGGGCGCCTCTGTGAAGAGCGTGAGTCTCTCCTCCAATCTTACTTGGAGTCCTGATAATTGGCATGGAAGCTCCTAACTCAGGGGAGTTTCTAGGAATTTGCCTTACCGGTGGCAGGAATTAACTTGTTTCTCCTGTAGCAGACCAGACAAAGCGGCTACGGCTGCTCTGAATATGTAAATTGGTTGCAGGAGATCTAGAATATTAGTGACCTTGGAAATACAGTTATCAAGATCCATCAAAGTCATCTCCACATCTCCAGGCACAAATTTCCAAGAATCTTCTTGGATAGGAGCTTGTAATGGAGGGTCTCGCAGTCTTTGTCTTCCCTCCTCTGAAGTCCATTTATGTGCTATGTTCCTCATTGCTATTAATTCATGGCATTGCCTAACATTGTACTTTGCAGGTAATATTTGCTGCCCACCATTAACTCTCTTTCAATAAGAGTAGTTCTTCCCAATTAAGAAAATAAGGAAAGTTGGCACTCCTATATCTACAAAATGCTTGGTAAATTAATATAAAATTTTGATCCTCATAAAAATACATTTCAGTTTGAACTTCCAGGAGACTGTAAGTGGTTTTAAATGTTTTTTTAAATGTCTAAACCACACTTTGTTTTAATATCTTAAAAAAACAATATGTGAGGATAAAATGATTTCATGTTTCATTAGAAATGATATATGTAAATCACTTTAAGAGTCATTAACATGATGGCCATTGGTCTGTATCAGTGTTTTCTAAGGCCAGACATTTTATAAGAGATTCTAAAACTTTTTTAAGTGTAACTATTTCAATGAACCTAGAAAGGAAAATACAAGATGGAAATAAATGTAAGTCACTAGCAACCTACCAAAGCAAGCATTCTCACCATGATTAAGAAAGAAAAGAAATCGCCTTTTTCCTTATTCTTTGCCCCAGTCGTTCCTTCCCGCTGAGGGCTCCCACACTTGACATGCTATCATGTTAATTGTCCAAAGACTCGGGGAACATTTACCCTGGGTACCCTAACAGCAGGCCTGGCTCACCTTGCTGAGCATATACCTGCCCTCCTGGATTAGACCAGCACGTCCCAAGCTTTACTGTGTGTGCAAACCATCCAGGAGGTGTTATTAAATGAAGATTATGATTCAGTAGATCTAAGTTAGGACCTAAGGTTCTGTATTTCTAGAAAAGTTCAAGGTGATTCCAGTGCTTTTGGTTTGAGAACCATGCTTTGAGTAGCCTGCCAGTAGACCATCTCACTCCTTTCTAAACAGACTATGCCTCTTTAAAGAGCTCAGTAATTTCTAGTAGGAGGAATGGTTGCCATGGAGGGGGTAGGGATGGCCTGATTCAGTCAGCATCAGGCCTCAGCGCCAAGGAAGTAAAGGGTCAGTTGTCCCATCGCCACTAATGTGTTGCCAACACCAGCCTACAAGGTAGCCATCTGGCTCCATTCTCACATTTAATTCAGGACAAGAAGAGAGGCTCCAGACAGCCAAACCCTATTAAAGCATTTTATGTCCTCTGTAATGGAAACCTGACACTATAATAAATGGAGAACATTCTGCTTATTTTGCGAAGGGAAGGCAAAGCACTCAGCAGGTATTGATTACAGTGTGTCCTCTCTGAGAAGTGCACTTGGCATTAGTCATTGCATCAGGCTAAGAGTCCAGACACTTTCCTAACGGTGTTTTCACAATGATACTTATTAATAAACAAGACAGACGGGAAGATTATCTAGTGGGTCATGCAAGGTTTTTCTCCTCCTGGAAAAATTTTTTTTGCACACTTGAACATATCTGAGTATGTATATTTTGATCAACTCCTTTTCGATCTCCTTTCTAGCAATATGCATTCTTCAGTGTCTGAATGGCGGGCGCTGTGTGGCCCCTTATCAGTGCGACTGCCTGCCTGGCTGGACGGGGTCCCGCTGTCACCTAGGTAAGCCTCCTCTCACAGTTTGTTTCCTTGGTGACTTGGCTCCGTGAAGCCCTAGAGGACACTGATGCATGGAACTCTGATTCAGAAGTGGCAGTGAGAAAAACAAGGGTACCCAAGTTTCTCAAGAACGCCTCAGAATGGTAGTTTGAACGGTGGTCTCAATGGGGAATGGTATGGCTGACTCAGGGACACCTTTCAGGCTCGTGTGCCAAAGAAGAGAAGTCGGGTTGACTCAGTTGTCAGCCTCCTTCATGTCATCCGCTCTATTCTTCAGAATGTAGAGAAAACGTTATGCAGAGGTTCAGAATATTTATGATTAATCTCTATGAAGCTAAATGATGACATTCATGGTAATTATTTAGAGAGAACAAGCTACTAAATAAGTACAATTTAAGTGAAAGTGAAAAACTCATTAAAGAGATCATTCCTTATCATGGACGGACATCACTAACTGTTGTTGATTGATTGATGACAAGCACATCCCATCAGCAACCCTGGCCGATCGCAAATATAGCATTTATCCCAATAGACTTTGCTACCTGTTTAATTGCTTATCGATCTGTCCCCACGCCCCACTAGGTCACATGTTAGTTGAGACAGGAATGTTTCTTTGTGACCTTTATATCCTCAGTACCTAGCATACTGCCTGCATATGATAGGTCTTTCCATAGATGTCTAATATATCAGTTCAAATGACATATTTTTACCTTTTCCATCTCCTGATTTTTTAGGCAATTGTTAAAAGAATAGAACTTGCTGTAGTGACTTAGTATTAGCTCTAACCCTCCACCCTCCCTCTTGTAAACAATATTGATACCACCTCCCCAGTGGGCTCAAATGTAAAGAAGAACAGACTTGCTGACACCAGAGCTTGTCATGAGTTCTAAGGCTGGGTGACCATATAATTTAGCTTCCCATTAGGACACTTTTGAGAGTGACAGGGGCACTATTAATAAGTAACCCAGGTAAATGGGAGTGAAAGGTACGGTCACAGGCAAAACTAGATGTGCAGTCACCCGACCTAAAACCAAAAGGGAGCCATCCATGAATGTGGAAATGTACCAGAGGCTCCATTTGAAGCTTTTACTTGAAACTCTTAAATCCATCTGTATATAGTATTCCTATATGACACATCAACTTTGATATTTATCTGCATTTCTCATGCTTACAAAACTGCACACACCTGCAAACCAGCCTTGCCCTTTCCTAGGCTCCTTATTGTGGCAGGTGGTGGCACCACTCTTGACTTCCCCTCATCTTCATCTGCGATTACCAGTATCAGCACTCCTTTTGTTCCTTCCTGCACAGTGTCTCTTGCATCCTACTCTGTCCCCGCTGTTACCAGTTAGCAAAAGACCTCCTCTTTTGATCACCGCCAGAACCTACTAGTTGGCTCTCCCATCTTCATTTCCCAAATAGCACAAATACTTACTACTTTTGGCATGTGTTGCCCTGTTTAAGAACCTAAAATGATTGTGTATTGTCTTCACATCCAGCCCAGATTCTTCGGACTTCCAAGGTGCTGCATCAACTGGCTTCAGCACACCTGGTAACCCTTACTTCCCATCCTAGCAGTCACACATTGTCCCCTGCAGTGATGGATGGCTTCCTTGTCACCCCCCGAGCCCCTAACTACAATAAGCTCCTTAATGACAATGAGCCACGTAGTCTTCCTCTCTGTTTCATCTTGCAGCAGCCACCTCAGCACGCACCCTGCTTGTACCTCCTGAGTACTAAGCATACAAAAGTATATGAAGCAGGGGCTCTTGCCCTCCAGAATTCAATCTAGAAAAGAAGTGACGCGGAATAGTCGATGAGTAGATAACTAGTGGCTAATAGAATTCTTTAATAGGAGATAGGAGAGTAAAGATGGGTAAACTAACCAAGTATGGATGTTCAGAAAAGGCTTTACAAGCAGAGAATCAGAGGATGAGTGAGAGTCACCGGGAGGTCATTTTAGCCCAAGGCATGGAAATATAACACAGGTGTGTTCAGGAAAGGATCGCCGAAGCCATAGAGAAAATGTAGGGGCGTGGTTGGAAATGACGCTGTAAAGATGGACAGAATCAGATTAGGAAACGCATTGCGTTCTAAGTTTTAGAGGTCGGATTATGTCTTATGAGCAACAGATGCCACTGAAGGGTTTTAAGCAGGGAAACAGTGTGATCAGATTTTTCTTTTAGAAAAATTATTTTGGCAGCAATATGGGAAATGGCAGGAAGCAAGTCCAGAGACCAGTTAGGAAGTTTGCCGAAGCAGAATTCGCAAGAGGAAATGAAGTGTGGAGAAATGATAATGAAAAACAAGAAGGATTTATGAGAAGTTAGGGAGTTGAATCAATACTACTTGATGATAGATTTATTGTGGGAGTAAATACCTCAGAAGGGTTAAGACTGATATTTCCAGTTTGGGCTCTTGTGTGGAAGGTGGTGCCATTTACTAAGAGAACCCAAAAGGAGTAGGTTGGCAGTTTAGATAAGGAATTAAGTGTGGAAATGCTGAGTTTGAGGGGCCTGTGGAATCTACGAAGGAGAGATCTGGCAGGCAGTTAGATCATGGTTTCGGTTCCCAGAAGATACGTCTAGACTGGAGATAGAAATATGTAGGTCACCAAAACATTCAGTGGGAAAAACAGTAAGACTGTGCAGAAGACACAGCATGAGAATGGAGCAGAAAGTAACACTGGGGGCATGCACCCATGTTATAGGGAATGTGGAAATGTTAAGCTTTTAGACAGGGAAGTGAAAACAGTGACTAATGTGTTAATACAGTCAGGCACCATTAAATCACCATGCTCCTGATTTTTTTTTTTAATTGCGGAAGGAGAACAGCCAAGTTGTTGTCCTTCAATCTTAGTCATGGATGGTGCAGCTAGCTTAGCTCTAAATCCAGTCACCATCCGGCCACCCATAGGCAGCTCGCGGCCACTCAGCTCAAGGTGCCGTGTTCAATCTTAGTTGCTGGTGGACATAGCCCACCATCCCATGCTGAAGTTGATCCAGAAACCTTGTTGCTAAGAGCGCTCGCTCTCACCAGCTGAGCTATCCTGCCACCTGTTGGCAGCTCAGAGGCAGCTCAGCTCGGACGCAGCTCACTGGCCCATGTGGGAATCAAACCAGCAACCCTGTTGCTCAGAGCTTATGCTCTTAACCAACTGAGCCACTCGGCCGGCTCCTTGCTTTTGTTTCTAATATTAGCAAATAGAATCTATTGAGGCTTAGTTTTAGATTATTGGGTTTTATTTTTGCTATTTTTAAACCTGCTTTGTTTCATAATTTCCTTTTATTGCATTGCAAGTACGGGCATTCTATTTGCCTACCCTTAGTCTTAACTCTCCAAGAGAGCTCCCCAAGGACAAAGACTAGTGTTTTACTTCTTGTTTTCTTTCTTCCCACCCAGTGCTTTTCAACTGCCTGGTACTTGCTGGCATTTTCCCCATATTTTATGAATGAGTGATTAAAGAAGTGACATTAATTTATATATCACCAAAGATGAGTTTTTCATCTGGGGAAGCTTTCCTTTCCAAGCAATAATGAGGCTGAAATAATGAGACTGAAATGTTTCTCATTTCCAGCTTTCTTTCAAGGCCCTTTATTTTCTTCCTATAGGGAGTTCTCCTTTCTCTTTGATTTGTTAAACTGGTGTTAGGTCTTTATAAGTTTTAGCATCCTTAGGTGTTTTTTTTTGTTTTTAACAAATAAATTCATTCAACTAAAGAATTTGGTTATGAGACTGTGGGCGTGTGAGAAAAATGTCTATATAGTAAATCTTCAGGTGCTCACTCGGGGTTTCATCTGTGACTCATTTTTAACTCTACTCCAGGTTCTATAATTCCAATTCAAGCCAGCAAAAGTCATGAGATATGTTTCCTGCAAACATAAAGGGCTTTTGAATCATCTGTTATTTTAGACAACCTATGTGCCTGATTTATTGTCATAAGAGTTGATGTCTTATGTAGTGACCCAATCACAGTTCAGTGCTACCTCCCTCGAGATTTACAGTCTAACAGAGCATATGAAAATTTTACAGTTCATAACATCGTGTCAAACTGGTTGCCTAAATTAAAAGATTAAAGGAGAAAAAAAAATCAGTGGACTTGAAATTAGCAGAAAAGACTTTAATACATAGGTAGAACTTAACTTAGGGCTTATTTATGAGAATTGTCTGGCTTGGAAGGAAAAATGGGAGGTGGTGCCACATAATGACATGAGGTCAAGCAGAGTGGCAGAAAGGCATAATGCAAACAGTGTGTGAGGAATGGTGGCTGCTGGGGCAGAAAACAGAGTCAAGTCTTATGCTACATACTTTCATGGACATCTTCAGAATGGCTAAGTATTAATTAAATAAATGCATGATTTTTTTCATTCCAGCCGTTTGCCAGTCTCCCTGCTTAAATGGTGGAAAATGTGTAAGACCAAACCGGTGTCATTGTCTCTCGGCTTGGACAGGACATGACTGTTCCAGGTAAGACAACCAAAAACTCAAGCTTATCTATAACGTGAAGAGATCAAAATCCAAGTTGTCCCAAGAGCCAAAAGGTATCTCTAGTGTGAGTGTTAGCATTTTGTAGCCAAAAGTATCCAATTTGAGGTACACTCTATACATTTGAACTAAAGCCAACACAAAGAAATATTAATTAAGGACTGACAAAACAATGATATCTGAAAAATAGATGATTTTGTGCTCATTTGGGCAGCACATATAGTAAAATTGGAATAATACAGAGAAAATCAGCATGACCCCTGCGCAAGGATGACACACAAATTTGTGGAGCATTCCATATTTTTCCACAAAAAAAAGAAAACAATTCATTAGTTAAATAAATTAACTGCCTTCTTGAATAGAAGACTATATCCTTCATATGCAAGGATGTAAAATAAATAATAAAAATACATTTTATTGATTTTCATTTGCATTCCTAATTACAATAAATATAGTATTGAAAACGATAAGAATGTTTATATTCAAAGTCAAAATTTTTTCATATTTTAGTGTATATATATATTTAGTATTTAACTATAAGAAAATTTATGTAAATATATGTTTTGTCATTGGTTTCTAATTTCTACTAGATAAATATTAATATCATAGTTGAAAAAAGATTATCACAAAAATAAGTCAGGAAAAATAGTTAAAAATCATTTAAGCGTTTTTAAAATTATTAATTGACATACAACATTATATTAGTTTCGGGTGTACAATATATTTGATATTTGTATATATATTGTGAAATGATCACCACAACAAGTCTAGTGAACATTCATCGCCATACATAGTTACAAAACATTTTTCTAGTGATAAGAACCTTTAAGATTTAACAACGTTCAAATATGTAATACACTATTACTAACTATAGTCGCCATGCTGTACATTATATCCCCATGATTTCTTTATTTTACAACAGGAAGTTTTTACCTTTTGACTTCTTTCATCCATTGTACCCACCTACCCCGCAACCCTAGCCTTTTACAACCACCAATTTATCTCTGTATCTATGAGTTTGGGGTTTTTTTGTTTTTGTTTTTGTAGATTGCACACTTAAGTGAGATCATACGGTATTTGTCTTTGTGTGACTTATTCAATTGGCATAATACCCTCAAGGTCCATCCAGTTTATTGTAAATGGCAGTATTTCCTTATTTTCTATGGCTGAATATCCCATTTTAGATAGATTAGATAGATAGATAGATAGATAGATAGATAGATAGATAGATAGATAGAATAGATAGACAGACACATTTTCTTTATCCATTCATTCTATCAATGGACACTTAGATTGTTTCCATGTCGTAGCTATTGTAAATAATGCTGCAGCAAACATGCGGGTGCATATGTCTTTTCAAGTTAGTGTTTTTGTTTTCTTCGGATAAATACCCAGAAGTGGAATTGCTGGGTCATAAGATAGTTCTATTTTTATTTTTTTGAGGAACCTCCATACTGTTTTCCATAGTGGCTGCACCAATTTACATTCCCACCAACAATGCACAAGGCTTCCTTTTCCTCCACATCCTGATCAACATTTGTTGTTTTTTTGTCTTTTTGATAATAGCCATTCTAACATGTGTGAAGTGATATCTCATTGTGGTTTTGAGTTGCATTTCCCTAATGATTAGCAATGTTGAGCATTTTTTCATGTACCTGTTGGCCTTCTGCGTGTCTTCTTTGGAAAATAACGTCTATTTAAATCCTCTGCTCGTTTTTTAATCAGATTGTTTGTTTTTTGGTTGTGAGATTGTATGAGTTCTTCATATATTTTGGATATTAACTCCTTATCAGATATATGATTTGCAAATATCTTCTCCTATTCAGTAGGTTGCCTTTTCATTTTGTTGATGGTTTCCTTGGCTGTGCAGAAGCTTTTTAGTTTGATGTAGTTCCACTTGTTAATTTTTGCTTGTGTTACCTATGCTTTTGGTGTCAAATCCAAAAAACTATTGCCAAGATCAATGTCAAGGACCTTACCATTTATGTTTTATTCTAGAAGTTTTATGGTTTCAGGTTTTACATTCATTTTGAGTTAATTTTTGTGGGCGATGTAAAATAGTGGTCCAGTGTTATTCCTTTGTACGTGGCTGTCCAGTTTTTCCAACACTATTTATTGAGGAGACTGTCCTTTCTCCATTGTACAGTCTTGGCTCCTTTGTCTTAAATTAGTTGATCATATATACAAGGGTTTATTTCTGGGTTCTCTATTCTATTTCATTGATTTATGTGCCTGTTTCTATGACAATACGATGCTGTTTTGATTACTGTAGCTTTGTGATATATAGTTTGAAATCAGGGTCCGTGATGCCTCCAGCTTTGTTCTTCTTTCTCAAGGTTTAAACTTTTTTAAATCTCAGGAAATGTCAGATATATTGCATCATACCATGGATAAAATATTTTCAGTACTAAAATATTGCCTTTGCAAATATTGCAATCTTGGAATATTACCAGCTTTATTTTAATTTTCAGTGTACATCATTGTATTACATCACTTAGATTTATATGGTAAAAATGTACTTCCATCTTATATAAATCATTAAAAACAAAAGGACATTTCCATATTCATTTTAAAAAATGGGAATCAGTTAACTGAAAACAAGTCTTATTTTTCTATTTCCTTTTATTTCATTTTGACTGGAATGTCAATGTCAACCTGCAAAGACAAAAATTTACTTAAATCCAAACTTAATTAACAAAAAGTCTGTCTTGTGCCAGCGAATTTCCTCATATTATCTCAGGTATATGCCATCTCTGCAGAGAGAAAAAAAATAAACTGAACCCCAGAGAGCAAACTTGGATTGTACGAGCATATTCAGAAGCTTCCAAGATAAAGATGATAGTTTTACCTGAGAACAGAGTTGGAAAATATAAAATAATGAAAGTCAAACTGGAATGGATATTTAGGGAAAATGAGAGAAAATAAGAGAGAAAGAGAAAAACAGAAAAGATGAAAGGAATAAGAATGACAGTGACTCCAAAAGGAACAGGAAATATTTATGACATGCTTGTAATTTTATACTTTATATTTCAACTCCTTCAAACAGGTAAAAAAAGGAAACCCAGAGTTTGTGTGGTTCCCTAACTTCGAAATACTCCCAAAGGAGTCTTTCTTGATGAGGGGAAGGGTGTTCTTAGCTTATGTGAAAATACTAATAGAGAGAACAAAATCTACATTTTTATGCAAAAGTTTGATAAAGGAATCCAAAAAAATTAAGCCGAGAAGTGTATTCCATATTCAAGGAAAGGTCAGCTTCCCCCAAGAGACTGGGCAGTTCCCCGCCCCACCCCCACCCCATCCACTTCCACCTTCTTTATTCTGTGATCCATTTTTCTAGAAAACCCATATTCGTTAGGACTGTCTTATTGCAACTCTAACTAGCTTAAGCAAAGGAAGTAATTTGTTATCACAATAGAGGGACCTTGCATGGAACCCAAGTACTTGGGATGGCTGAGTTTCAGGAGGACCAGACTGAGGACTTAAAAGCAACCTGAAGCCTCTCCATCTCCTGTCTCAGCTTCCCTCTCCAGCATTTGCTCCATCTTCTCTCTGGTTTTTCTACTGACCAGTTCACATGGAAGGACAGGACTGCTTTTTTCACATTTTATTGGGTTGTCGGAAAAGTCATGACGCATGTTTGCAACAGATGGCACTAGTTCATTTTTAGAAGCACTAGAGTCATTCTCATCTATGTTATTACTATGTCATTTGAAAGCTGATACTTCTAGCTTTATTCTAAAAAAAAAATTGAGTGATTTGGTTGAGTTTTGGAGATTTTACAACAAGTTGAAGATAGAAGACCAAACTGTGCATTTTTGCCATATTTTACTGTTTTCCTTCCATAAAGGGAAGAATGCGCGTCAAGCTTGTGAAAAGTTGCATAAAGTTTATGGTGACAATGCTCTACAAGAACATCAATGCCAATGATGGTTCACGAAATTCCGTGCTGGTGATTTTGATCTCAACGACGCTCCTCTGTCAGGGAGGCCCACCGAGGTTGATGACGACAAAATAAAGGCATTGATGAGTCAAACCCACGTTACACAGCATGAGAGATTGCAGAAACATTGAACATCCATCATTCAAGCGTTCATGACTACCTGAAGAAGCTGGGATACGTAAGCAAGCTCAATATTTGGGTTCCGCATGAACTCAAAGAAGTTCATTTGACAGCACATATAAACATCTGCAATATATTCATTAAACGTGAGGAAAACGATCCTTTTTTGGAGCGACTGATAACTGCTGATGAGAAGTGGATTGTTTACAACAATGTGGTGCGCAAACGGTCTTGGTCCCGACGTGATGATTCACCTCAAACAACATTGAAAACAGACATTCGTCAGAGGAAGGCTATGCTCTCAGTGTGGTGGGATTTTAAAGGTGTGTTTTTCGAGCTCCTACCAAGGAACCAAACAATCAACTCAAATGTGTACTGTCAGGAATTGGACAGTTTGAATGAATCCATCATCCAGAAACATCCAGAGCTTGTTCATTGTAAAGGAGTTGTGTTCCATCACGACAATGTGAGACCACACACAAGTTTGATCATCTATAAAAATTATTGGAGCTTAGATGGGATGTGTTGCCACACCCACCATACTCGCCTGACCTTGCACCTTTAGACTTCCACTTGTTTTGCTCTCTTCAAAACTCCTTGTGTGGTATAACATTCAATTCAGAAGAGGCTGTAAATCATCACCTTGTTCAGTTTTTCACAGGTAAAGACAGGTCCTTCTATGAACGAGGAATTATGAAGCTCACTGAAAGATGGCAAAAGGTTATTGTACAAAATAGGCACTATATCATTGATTGATCTTTGTTCTTTATATAAATAAATGACCTTTGAAAAGCATAAACAAAATACATCATGACTTTTCCAACAACCCAATACATGTCATACTACAGTATCCACAGAAATGGTGTGCTGACATAGTTTAAAAATTCAGGAGAAGAACTGAACTGACTGGTCCAGATGGAGTTAAGGGCCCACCATGGATTCGTCAGCTGTGGTCCGAGGTTGGGTTATGCTGCACTAACATGAAGCATCATTTTGTTAAAACCTTTACCTTACCTTTGGGTGAAGGGGAGGAGAGTCTGGCAATTTCCAGAAGAAAGAAAGGTGGAATATAATTCCCTGAAATGGGAGAAAGAAAAAAATTTTCTGAGAAACCCAAACAATAAATGTTTACAAATAACCTTTTATTTCCTTCTCTCTCATGAGATTGAGTGCCTTCAAGATTGGGTCCCCCATACTTAGCACAGGCACAAAAATTGATGCTCAGTAAATTCCTGCTGATAAATGGATCAATTTCCAGGCATCTGTGACAGCTGGTGGACAAATACCCATGGGCATACATTAAATCCCTCAACCTGTAACCTTTTCTACTGATGAAGAGGACTGACCTGGTATTCTTCTCAGATAATTCAGTCCCTAAGAAGGAGGTTGTGTTCCCTCTAATATCTATGTTCCTCTTCAGAAAATTGATCCTAAACGAAAGCCATGAGTAAAAACCATAGATTATTAATGCTGTAAGCGACCTTGGGGCTCACGAAGTCTAAACCCCTCATTTTACAGATGAGAGGATGATCAATAGGAAACTAGTGGCAGAACCAGAACTAAAACTCAAGTCTGCTGATGCTCAGACCTTTTCATAAGTTAGCACCTGTTCTCCATGCCCCTTAGTTCTCTCAAGGAATGACTCCCATCCATACAAACAACACAGCAGATAATGCCCAGGTATCTGAGACTGTCAATCTGGTTTTAATCAGCCCCAAAAGGGCTATACCTCTTCAGTTCAGTCTTTTCTGTTGAATCTCTTTGTTTTTTGTTCCAGGAAAAGGAGGACTGGGTTTTAACCACTGCACAATCAACCAGCTCTCCTAAAAGCAGGATCATCTCTTCCTGGTATAGTCCTGGGCATCCTGGAACTTACGCAAAGAAATTCCAACACGGTGCTGGGTCTTGTTTTGTTTAGTAAACTTGTTATTTGGGGTTCACTTTTTTATTTTGTGTTATATTTTGTTATTCCTTGTGACATACTTTCTTACACGTTTCCATTTTTAAATATGCCTGTATTTTCTATATAAAAATATATTAAATAGATGCTGCTCCACTCTCATGAAATGTACAAACCCTGCTGTCTATTTGGAAAGTTCCTGGTACACATTTTTATTCGGTTACGTAAAATGATTTTTCAATTAAAATATATTTTGCTACTAAATAATGTTTTTCTGGATGGTGCCATTTGTGAAGTGACCACGGAATAATGAAGAGCATTAATGATTTTTCATCTATGCTACTGGCACAAAACAGGATCACATGCAGTGGACCAAGAAATTACAATAAAGAAGATCCCTTCATTTTAAAGTCATCTTCTTTACAATGTGTGTAACAATGAAGGTTTTCTTTTGTTTAATCAGAGAATAACTACTGGACCTACTACCCTCCACACAGAATGCTAAGAACAGCCTGGCTAATTTATTTCCCAATGTTTGGAAAAGCCATAGGCATCAACTTAGTGGATAGGAGGGAAAGGCATAATGACTATGGTTTACAATGTAAAGTGCTCCCCTTCCTTCTCACATCTGGAGTAAAAAAAAAATGCAAGAACTGGAAGATTAACAGAGAGCCCTTTCTGGATCATAAATCTACAACTCACTGCTTTCGGAGAAAGGAGATAGGAATAGGAGGCCAGGGAAAGGGGAGGAAAAAGGCAACTGGAAAAAGTTCCCCAGAACTCTGCTCCTGGTCCCACCTGCAAAAAAAAGAATTGAGTCTGCCCAAGGCAGAGCTGTGCTGTCCCTTAGCCTTCCCCTAACTCCATCACAATACTTCTACCAGGATAAAGACTTCCCCAGACCTCTGGAAAATAAAGCCAAATATTAGATTTTGTTTAAAATAGGAAAATCACAATCAAGTTGTCTCCATCCTTTGGGAGAACTACTCCCACATAGGGCACAGGGTGCATTATAACACTGTGAAGAAATGAAGGAATGGTGAAAAGAATCTTGATTGTCCCAGTGATTCTTTGCCATGCACATCCCTGAGCTATTGACTCCTCCCCTTTTCTCCTGACGTTCACTCACTTGACCAATCTTACATGCTTATGAGTATACCTTTTATTTAGTTTATTTATATCCTATCAACTTCCAAACTTTGTTAATCTTTGACATTTATAATCATAAAACTATAAAATAAGTCTCAACATCCAAGTAATAAAAAGAAAGATGGCACCAAAAGAGTTAAGCTCAGGAAAGTCACTGCAATTGAAAACAAATCTCGGTTCTGAAAGTGGACCTACTAAGTAGAATTTGTATTGGGTTACTCTGAATAGATTAAAAGATCTGTTTTTCACAGCAAGTGAACTAGTTGTGTTGTGCAGACAGTACAAGGAAGTAAACCACCATCCAAGTGAGGTTTGCAAATGATATGAGGGTCCACAGATCTAGAGATATGAGAGCAATAATACTAAAAGTTGTTGAAGAATGTTGTTTTTTAAATCTTCAGTATAGATATATTCATAGTGAATTGTTAAATTTCCAAAATAGAAGTAAGGTTGTTTGTCCATCATACCAAAGCATCATCTGTTTCAAACCAACTATAATGAGTCCTACAGTGAACCATTAAATGCATTCCTTTAAATGAGAAACAAAGCAAACAGCCTATCCCTATTGATCTTAAACATTAGTCTATGGATTCCAGCCAAAGCCATAGTACATAAATTTATAACAAATTAAAGGTATAAAAATGAGAAAATTAAGAGTCACAATTTTCATTTTGGCCGAAGATACAATGATATACTTTATAAGATGAAAACCTAAAGACATGAAAATTCATTAGAAACACAGAGTCCAGTAAACTGGGTGGTTACATGATAAATATACAAAAACAAAGAGTTTTCCTGCATGTCATTTATAAATAGAAAATATAGTGAAAACAAATACCTATTCACAATGTCAGTAATATATATGTATATACATATACATATATATATATGTATGTATGTATTATATAAATAAGAAATTATGTGGTCACAAGGAACAACATTATAAAATTATATCTATAAACATTTATAAACGTTCAAATAATGAGAAGAATTCAATTTCTTGGGTGAGAGAACAACATGTCTTAAAGATATTGATTTTTCCTAAATAAATTATAGGCATAATGTAATTCCAATCCTAGTTGTCATATTGGATTTTGTTGGTGGGGGGGAAGGGAAGGGACATCACCAAATTATGTATTCTAATGTTCATTAAGAAATAAAAAGGAAAATTAAAATATTTTAAAGAAAAATCATGAAAAGGACTATTTTTACTAAAAATAAATGCTGTGATAATTTAAAAAGTGCATGCTGGATCAAGAATCACAAAAGCATCAATGTGATAATCTCTACCTATAAATGAAAATATTTTATTTAAAAACTCATAAGTGATCAAGAAAAAAATCAATAGTGGAAATTTTGTTATAAAATATAAAAAAGTGAGAGAATATTGAGTAACTAGCATTAGATAATTGGTAAAAATTTGAAAATCTTTTAATTTGTATTCTTACTGTGTAACAAAATAAATTCAAGATGGATTGGGGAGTTAAATATCAATATTAAAACCATAAAAGTGGTTTTTTAGAATTCTTCTCAAGAACAATTTGAAGGCTTACATAAAAACCTTCTAAACATAGATGTTAGAGAAAAATCAAAGTAGGAGTGATGAACAGATTTCATAATATAAGTAAATTAAATTAAAAGTCTGAATTTCATTCAAAAAATCATAATCAAATGTAAAGATACATTTTTATGATGGACCAAGGAATAATGTTTTTATTATAATGTCTTTATTATGTAAATTGAAAACCATGTATCCAATTCAAGAACACAGACAACTCACCAAAGAAGTGCAATAAATTCATATGTATGTGAGAGAATGTTCAATTTCACCAATATGATACGCAAATTCAAACAGCGAGAAACCATTTTGTTTATCAGATTAGCAGTGACTTATTTTTAATGTTAAACAATGCTGGCAAATGTCGATGAAATAGAAAATTTTATACATTGTCAGTGAAATGTAAACTGGTTTCATAATTTTAGAAAGCACTTTGACATATGTATCCTTAATATTTGTATATGTTTTGAGCAAATATAAAGTAAGTTTTAGGTATAATAAAGTTCATCATGGGGCCAGCCGAGTGGCTCAGTTGGTTAAGAGTTGGCTTAAGAGTGCAAGCTCTGAGCAACAGGGCCACTGGTTCGATTCCCACATGGGCCAGTGACGCTGCACGCGAGCTGAGCTGTCACTGAACTGCCAACAGGTGGCAGAATGGCTCTGCTGGTGAGAGCACGTCCTCCTAACATCAAGACTTACTGTTCCATGGTGGGCTACACCCACACGCAACTAAGACTGAACTTGGCACCTTGAGCTGAGCTGCCGCCCGGATGGCTCAGTGGATAGAGCATGCACTCTTAACAACAAGGCTGCTGGTTCGACTCCCACATGGGATGATGGCTACGCCCACCCACAACTAAGATTGAGCACTTTGAGCTTAGAGGCCACAAACTGCCGAAGGGCAGCCAGATGGTGACTGGCGCCCTCCACAATGAAGATTGAAGAAAAACAACTTGGCTGGTCCCCTTCCCTGATTCCCCAGCATTGCTCCCCTCCCCTAGTTCCCCAATAAAATCTTTAAAAAAAAAAAAAAAAGAGGGCCGGCCGAGTGGCGCAATGGTTGAGAACTCGCTTGGGATGCCAGAGGGCCCCGGTTCGGATCCCACATGTGAGGACCAGTGACANCCCTCCACAGCTAAGATGCTGAACAACAGCTCAACCTGGAGCTGGGCTGCCATGAGTCGCCGGCGACGGCGTGGGCTGCAGCCTCTGTGGCAGTGGGTTGCCATGGGCTACCGTGTGTGGCCAGCAGCCAGCGTGAGCGGCCAGCAGCCGCTGTGAGTGGCTGTCCAGAGGCCGGCGACCGATCTGCCTCGCCAGAGAAGAGCGCAATGATGGTGCCAACATGGGCCAAGTGAAGCAACGTCCTCCACAACTAGACTAAAGAACAAAAGAACAGCAACTTGTCTGTTCTCCTTCCCCCAATTCCCCAGCACTGTTCCCCTCCCCCAATTCCCCAATAAAATCTTTTTAAAAATAAATAAATGAATAAATTTTAAAAAAGAAAAAAAAAACCCAAAGATAATGCAATAACATGGAAAATGCATATGGTGTAAAGTTAGTGAGGGAAAAAGCAAGATATAAAAATTTCCATACTCGTATGCTTAAAAATCTACAAAAATAATGCATAATGAAGATGAGAAGGAAAAATGCCTAAGGTCACAGAGTTATAAATATTGTAACTTGAATTAAACTCAGATATCTCTGGCCCCAAATGTCTGCTTTTTTTAATCTGGCACATTCAAACACTACCTCTTAACTTTGGAGTATCCATGCGACAAACATAAAATAATTAACAACAATTGAAAAAAACAATACACTCAAATGGAATATGGTTTTCCCCACAAGAATGAAAACATTGTCCAACCATAGTAAAGTTACTCCTACCCTATATCATAGGAATGTCAAGTACTAAAAGCCATATGATCATTTCAGTAGATGTAGGAAAAGCTTTTGAAAAAATTTAAAGTCTATTCTTAATAAAGTCTCTAAAACTCAGACTAGGAAAGATATGTTTCTACTATAGTAAAGCTTTTCCTTTTCAAATTAATGTGCATCAAGCCTATTGATCTGATGTTAAGAACCAGTAGCTGACTAGCAAATACACTGACGACAGTAGGTTAGGGTATCCTGTGGTCAAATAAATATTAAGTTTCTATGGCTTCTCAAGAAAAGGCAAAGGATGTAGCAAAACCAAACATAATCAGAAGACAAAAAATGAAGACTGGCATTAACCTTGGGAACCTTGATAGCATTATGCTAAGTGAAAGAAGCCACACACAAAAGACCATATATTGTATGGTTCCATGCTGCAATAATTAAAATACCGTATTTGCCGGCGTATAAGACGATTTTTTGGCCCTGAAAAATATGCCTCCAAGTGGGGGGTCGTCTTATACGCCAGGTACACTTCAGATAGACTGCCCATAGTGCTTGC